CACCAGCGAGGGTGGGCACTACTCCATCTCGAAGGGTGCTCACTGGCTGGGTATGGGAACCGATCAAGTGTACAAGGTACGTCGCTGTTCCTCTCGCCCAAGAATCTATTCGAACCCGGTGCGCTTTGCAGGTAAAATGCGACGAGCTGGGCCGCATGCGACCGGACAGTCTCAAAGCAGCGGTCGCCGAAGTCAAGGAGCGGGGACACTTACCGTTCTTCGTGAACGCCACCTGCGGCACCACCGTGCTAGGAGCTTTCGACCCTCTTCCGGAAATCGCGGAGATCTGTCGGCAAGAGGATCTCTGGTTACACGTTGACGTTCGTACGATCTTGATCAAACGCGTGGGCTTTTTAATACGATTCGCGATCATTGTTACAGGCTTGCCTCGGCGGTACGCTGCTGCTCTCGGAAAAGTACCGGTCGCTGTTGAAAGGAATCGAGCTGTACGTATCGCGCTTTCTGTTGTCTGTTTCGATAGCACGATGACGTTGTTCGATTGACACAGTTCGAACTCCGTGGCGTGGAATCCGCACAAGATGCTGGGCGCTCCGCTGCAGTGCTCGCTGTTCGTGGTGAAGGGTAAGAACGCTCTGCACGAGGCGAATTGCGCGGGTGCCAGGTACCTGTTCCAGCAGGACAAACACTACGACGTGTCCTGGGACACGGGGGACAAGAGCGTGCAGTGCGGGAGAAAGGTGAAACGATCTCGAAAAGAGAGTCGCAAAATTAACTAAACGAAGCGATTACAGGTGGACGGCGCAAAATTGTGGCTGATGTGGAAAGCGCGTGGAACCAAAGGCCTCAGCGATTCCGTGGACGTCGCTATGTCCATGGCCGAATACTTCTTTGACCGCATCAAGAATCGCGACGGTTTCCGCCTGGTTCTCCCGCGATACGAAGGTTGCAACGTTTGCTTCTGGTGAGCAAGGTTTTTCGTACGGTGGTCGTTGCTCGGACGCGGTTTCATCGAACGCGTTTCAGGTACATACCGCCGAGCATGCGAGGACGAGAAGAGACGCAGGACTGGTGGAAGAAACTGTACGAGATGACCGCGAAGATCAAGGAACGCATGATGATGGAGGGATCTTTGATGGTCGGCTACACCCCGCTCTCGTACGCCAACGTCGGCAATTTCTTCCGAATGGTCGTTACCTGTCAACCGCCTCCGACGAAAGCTTCCATGGATTACGTTATCGAGACGATCGAGCGCTTGGCTGTCGACGCGTAAGCTCCGAAGACGAAGAGGTGAAAAAGCTCCGGCGAAAATTGACTCCGTAGGAGCGTTATCAACGTCTTTATTGCGATCGATCGACGCGTTTGGAAAGATCCGTGATAGAATAGAGAAAGGGTAGTAGACGGGGCTCGTTCGGTCGTGGACGTCGTCGTTTGCGCGTAATTCGAACTGGCAAAATACGTATCGAACAGTGGAAATCGCCCGCTACCGGACTAAGGCGCTTACAATCGGTGCGCCTCGGCCGGTCGGACGATTCTTTTTCTTTATTCTCGGATATTCTTTGCGCATACGCGTCGACGCGTGGCCGCGACTCAATGTGAGCCAATAAAACGACGCGATCGAAGCGCAGCGAGCACGTCCGCTTTCACGTTCGCGCGCATAGATAGGTACATTTTCGTTTGCGCGCGCGAGCCGGATAAACTCGTTTCGTACGCGCGCGATCCCACTTCAAATGGCACTAAATCCTCCGACGCAAAATAACAGTCGTGGTCGTTGGTCCTTTAAAATAAACGAGTACAAAACAACGAAACGCCTTCTTCTTCTCGACCAACGTCGGTCGAGCCTGCAGCTGCCATCGTTCAACTTTCGTTCGTCCACAGCGTTCAATTTGTCTCCGCTCGAAGAAATCGCGCGGTTCAACCGAAAATCGTCTTTCGGGCGAATGAATTGTTCTCGTGCGTCGCGCACTCTGTTCAGTAGTACTTGTCCTGGTCCAGATCGACTCGAACGTGCTGTTGGCCGTGGCTGTTACGCTTCAGCGTAGCCGACTCGTAGTCCAGACTCTTAGGGTATAGCTTGGGACTACCTAGACCGTTCACGTTCGGATTGTTCTTCGTGCGAAGCGTTCCGGTGCCGTTCGTGCTGCCGGAGAAGCTGGGCTGTCTTTTCGCGTTCACCTATCGAGAAGAAAAATTGTTGTATGCGAATCGCGACGACGAATCGACGGTTTTGCTTACCTCTTTCAACGGAACCGTTACGTAGGGGTTTTGCTTGCTGATGTAGTGCGGGCTGCCTGGAATCCGCTGCTTCCTCCGTTTCAGATAGCAGAAGCTTAGAACCGCTGTCAGAGCTAAGCCGACAACGAATCCGACGACGCAGCTACCTACCACCGCGCCGATCGTCGCTCCTGAATGCTCCACGCTCGAGCGTAGAGCGTTCACGTCTGAAAACGAGAACAAATTAGCACGTTTTCTGCGTTTTCTAATTACCATCCACTTACCATTTTCTGTGCAATCCGGCAGACAATCGCGCGTTTCCCGACTCGATCCCAGACACGCGCCAGGTCCTCGTTGAATGCACTGTCGTTTCCGGTGCTGCTGATGATCGTCGCCGCACGGCGTCCACCGGGACCATGCGTCCCATCCGAGCAGCGACTCGCAGCTCGGCATCTCGCATGTTTCCCTCACTAGTCTGGGACCCTCGCAGCTCTCCGGACCCAAACACTCCCTGGTTCTGGTGCGGACGCCGGAGCCGCACGAGACGGAGCACTCGGACCAGTCGGTCCAGCAGGACCACTGTCCTTCGGTGGTGGGTCCTGTACCGGTACCGTCGGACGCGTACGTTCGACACGGGTGCGCGTTGCACAGTCTGGTTTGCAGCGAGGAACCACCGTCGCAGGGTGGCGATTCGCATTGTCTGACCTACGTTCGAGGTACAGTCAGCGAACGGACGAAACGATAAACGAGGAAAGAGAACGCGATAGTTACCCTGTACTGCGAGCCTCCGCCGCAGGGACGATCGCACTGTTTCCACGACGACCACTCGCCCCATCCGCTCCATCCGCTCTCCGTCGCGAGATCCGCGTATCCGTTCTGGTTCGCGTTCCCTCGCAGACAGGAGCCGTCGTTTCTGCAGTAACGCTCCTCCTCCTTGGCCAGTTGCACCCGAACGCTCGAAGGATCGTCCGTCTGAGCGCGGCAGCTGAATCGAAACCGTTTCTCGACGTATCCGACGTTACCGTTCTGCAAACTGGCGTTCGCTGCCAGCCACGGGGTCCAGCCGGAGTACCTTTTCGTCTCGACGCACTGGTGCGAGTTACAGTCCTCGACCTAACGACGACGAAAGAGGTAGATCGAAGGTCGGCGGAGATCTAGCAGTGACTCGCTTACCTGGAAGTCGCATCCGTTGCACTCGAGGACGGTGGATCCCTTGCGCGGCGACGGGTTCTCGCACGTTCTTCTTCGTATGCGTATTCCTAAATCACGAGACGATTAGAACATTTGGACTGAGCCTATGGGTCTCAAATATAAAGAAATACGTTCGAGGCGCTTACCGGCGTTGCAGGGTCGAGAACAAGAGTTCCAAGGACCCCAAGGAGACCACTGTCCGGTCTGAGGCGGCGGCGTCACCTTGGCGG